CAATAAGCTGAATTGTTAACGGTTGCTATAGGTTGCAAGTCCTCCTGTTTAATAAGCAGTTAATGTTTCACTGAATCAAATGGGATCCAAATGTCAAAATTCTGGGGTGGGCAATGCCGGCCCTCCCGCTGCTGTGGAACTACGAGTCCCATGAGGCATTGCAAGACTCACAGTTACAGACATGATTCCCAGAGGCAGATTGGGATTAGTAGTTAAAGTTGCCCACACTCTGGTCACAATTGCTAAAAAGAACTTGGAAACGATCACACTAATATTGAAGATCTTTTCAACGTAAAACAAATACAAACAGCAAAGAGCTCTAAAACATAACAATGTACATATATTATTTATTTATTTATTGTTACAGAAGTCAGATCCTCCCAAGTTCTTAGAACTTCTGGAATTTTTGTTGTATTGGTCACTACACTTTGTACACTGCTCACTTAATAAATACCATGCGTAGTCTTACCTCTGTTTGTAGGCATCTCTCTCTCTCTTCACTTTGCCAAGGACATTGTACAGCGCTCTGATTTCTGGGGTGATGGTATCGATCTGAACTCCGACCCCATCGGCGTGACCCCAATAGGCTCCGCTTCCGGATCCAATGGACCCTATGTCTGTGCGGGGCATGAACCTCCTTGGCCCGTAGACCCATGGCTGAGGAGGGGGAGTGGGAGTTGGCCGGGTAAGCCCCAGTAACGGAGGGGGCAGAATGGGCCCCACGAAGCCAGTCTGGACTGCCTGGTCCCTGGTGATGGGGCCCGCTCCTTGGGCTCTTTCTAAGGCCCTCTCCAAAGACCGGTTCCTCCGTTCCAACTCGTGCACCTTGGCCAAGAAGCAGCGGAAGCGCAGGTTGAGGGTCTTCAAGACGCTGATGTTTGAGCCAAAGTCATTCCTCAGAGCCGAGGCCCCCCCAGTCTGAGTGTAGGGGGTCCCCAAGAGCAGCGATGACTGTGTCGGTGATGGGGGGCTGTCCCCCTGCTGCAGAGGGGGGTCTGATGAGAGCAGGAGAAGGTTGGGAGTTAATAGAGGATTCATGGCTGGGTTATTCATAGCACTGCAGAAAGGAGGGAGAAGAGGGGAGGACCAGCCGGAGGAGGAGGGAGGCAGAGAAGTCACATCATCTGTGATATGAGGACAGAGATTTGGAGAAGGCAAAGAGGCTTGATGAGAGAAGGGGGGATGCAGAATGACAGACAGCCAGGAGAGGGAAGGAAAAATAAGGAGAAGGGGATGCAAATAGGCTGGGAGAGAGGAAGACACATCAGCGGTGACGTTCTAGGAGAGGGGGGAACATTCCTGCCTGATAACCGCAGGCAACACACAGCAACTGCAGATAGAGGAGGAGGAAGGAGAGAGATGGAGAGAAAGGCAGGATGGGGGGGGAGCAAATTCCTGCCTGACTCACTGCAGCCTGCAGAGAGAGCAGCTTAGAGCCGAGGGGACACCAGAGCCAAAACATGAAAAGGGAGGGCACCTTCTCCGTACAGATCAGCTGTGCCTGGCCAGCTTTGTGGTGGTACATAGTTCCATCAGAATGTTGACCACACAGCTGAGCTATACTGAAAGAACAGGAGAGGCCTAGTGAGGAAAATTGGAAGAAGTTAACTGCTAAACTACTAAAAAAGTTGAGCTATCGGACTTGGGTTAGCCATGGCCAACCCAAGCCTATCCCTAATTCCTTCCCAAAGACGATCAATGGTACATTGATGAAAATTTGTGATTTTGCTCATGGAGTTTTTCCAACCTGGAAAAACTCAGTTGGGCGAATTGCAAGAGAAGCTTTGTCAGGTTCCCGGCACTAGAAAGTACCGGTAGATGCCTACCCGCCTGTCTTTCTAGATGTGCCCATCTGTGGTTAGGCTTGAAGTAGAGGTAAACCCTTCAGCAATCACCCTCACCCTCATTGGAAATGGACTCACACTCTGTGGTGGACCTCATATGTTATCATCGCTTTGGTAGTCAGAGGACTGTATCTCCATATGATCCAAATTGCATGTCAAAGTCCATCAACACCCCGGCATCTCATAGGGCAAATACACAAAACAAACCCATAGTAGTGCTGTCCGTTTAAAAAGAAAATTTTAACATACTTACAAAATTGGTGCATTGTAACTGCGCATTAAATGAAAATCCCGCAACGTATATTAGTAGCAATGTAACTCTCTCCCTCGGACATCGTCCTACGTGTTACGTCTCATCGACCTCTGCAGGGATTTTTTTAACTTAATTTTTCTAAAAATTACAAAGCAATTGAAAACATAAAACAGTTTTGAGATGAGCCTGTTATGTGTGACAAGTGTGTGTATACAGAATGAGGTGGGAAAGATACACTATATTGCCAAAAGTATTGGGACGCCGGCCTTTATACGCACATGAACTTTAAGAGCATCCCAGTCTATGTCCATAGGGTTCAGTATTGGGTTGGCTCCGCCCTTTGCCGCTATAACAGCTTCAACTCTTCTGGGAAGGCGTCCACAAGGTTTAGGAGTGTGTCTATGGGAATGTTGAACCATTTGTGAGGTCAGGTACTGATGTTGGGGGAGAAGGCCGGGCTCGCAGTCTCCGCTCTAATTCATCCCAAAGGTGTTCCCATCAGGTTGAGGTCAGGACTCTGTGCAGGCCAATCAAGTTCCTCCACCCCAAACTCCCCCATCCATGTAATTATGGACCTTGCTTTGTGCGCAGTCATGTTGGAACAGGAAGGGGTCATCCCCAAACTGTTCCCACAAAGTTGGGAGCATGAAATTGTCCAAAATGTCTTGGTGTGCTGATGCCTTAAGAGTTCCCTTCACTGGAACTAAGGGGCCGAGCCCTACCCCTGTGAGTGTATGTATACAGAGTACAGGATGAGGGGTGAAAGGTGTGTGTGTATACAGAGAGTACAGGATGAGGTATGACAGGTGTGTGCATACAGAGTACAGGATGAGGGGTGACAGGTGTGTGTGTGTGTGTATACAGAGTACAGGATGAGGGGTGACAGGTGTGCGGGTATACAGTGAGTACAGGATGAGGGGTGACAGGGGTGTGTATATACAGTGAGTACAGGATGAGGGGTGACAGGGGTGTGTATATACAGTGAGTACAGGATGAGGGGTGACAGGGGTGTGTATATACAGTGAGTACAGGATGAGGGGTGACAGGGGTGTGTATATACAGTGAGTACAGGATGAGGGGTGACAGGGGTGTGTATATACAGTGAGTACAGGATGAGGGGTGACAGGGGTGTGTATATACAGTGAGTACAGGATGAGGGGTGACAGGGGTGTGTATATACAGTGAGTACAGGATGAGGGGTGACAGGGGTGTGTATATACAGTGAGTACAGGATGAGGGGTGACAGGGGTGTGTATATACAGTGAGTACAGGATGAGGGGTGACAGGGGTGTGTATATACAGTGAGTACAGGATGAGGGGTGACAGGGGTGTGTATATACAGTGAGTACAGGATGAGGGGTGACAGGGGTGTGTATATACAGTGAGTACAGGATGAGGGGTGACAGGGGTGTGTATATACAGTGAGTACAGGATGAGGGGTGACAGGGGTGTGTATATACAGTGAGTACAGGATGAGGGGTGACAGGGGTGTGTATATACAGTGAGTACAGGATGAGGGGTGACAGGGGTGTGTATATACAGTGAGTACAGGATGAGGGGTGACAGGGGTGTGTATATACAGTGAGTACAGGATGAGGGGTGACAGGGGTGTGTATATACAGTGAGTACAGGATGAGGGGTGACAGGGGTGTGTATATACAGTGAGTACAGGATGAGGGGTGACAGGGGTGTGTATATACAGTGAGTACAGGATGAGGGGTGACAGGGGTGTGTATATACAGTGAGTACAGGATGAGGGGTGACAGGGGTGTGTATATACAGTGAGTACAGGATGAGGGGTGACAGGGGTGTGTATATACAGTGAGTACAGGATGAGGGGTGACAGGGGTGTGTATATACAGTGAGTACAGGATGAGGGGTGACAGGTGTGCGTGTATACAGTGAGTACAGGATGAGGTATGACAGGTGTGCGTGTATACAGTGAGTACAGGATGAGGGGTGACAGGTGTGCGTGTATACAGTGAGTACAGGATGAGGGGTGACAGGTGTGCGTGTATACAGTGAGTACAGGATGAGGGGTGACAGGTGTGCGTGTATACAGAGTACAAGGTGGAGAAATGGACCAAAAGTGCCTTATTACATGTATGACAAGGCCCTCCACTCTGAAGGGTATGTGGGAGTTGCCCTTTAAGTGGCTGTGATCTCATCCTACTTAAACCTCTGGGTGTCAGCCTCTAAATATAGTTTTTCTGATTACCACATGAAAGTGATTGTGAGGATCCAGACAGCAGCCTGGGGGACAAGAGGGACATTGCATAGAGGGACGAGCATGGCCCAAATACAGACACACGTGTGACAGTAATAGATTGGGAGCCCTTCCCTGTGCAAAAAAAAAAATCCAATAACAACAGC